GCTCTTCTAGAGGGAAATACAATACAAACATTAGGAAATCATTAGCCAAGTTAACCACTATCTAAGATTTCTAAACACCAAGCTGGAATAATTTAACCTGCTTAGTGTAAGACCAGGCTATAGACCGGTTCGGTCAGGGGTTTCAAACTCAAATTCACAGTGGGGCCTTTCCAGTTCCTTTTAATATAAATGATTTTTTCACGGCCAACAACAAACTAATTACTGCTAATACTACAAATCCTGCTAGTATATAGAGGCTGTATACTGACGGGACAACTCTAGTACACATTTGATATGATTGATCGGGCCAAATATAATTAAAGATTTTCTTGAAAATATTTTGTCTATAAAAACAATAAAAAATATGTTCCCCTGTGGTTTGCTTAGTTTAGGTCTAGTAAAATAAAAAAACCTCGAGTAAGAGTTATTTAATGTAAGACAGATTTCTGGCTTCATTTAAAAAAACAAACTTTTTTAACAAAAGTAGAAATACTAGTAAAATAATCAGTGTAAAAGAACATTTTCTAAATATGCTTTTTCCACAAGCACTGAACCACACATTTGATTTGGTAATGTCTCTTTATTATATTTATTATTATAAAGATTCTCACTGTTCTATTTCTTATGATGCTGCTGGTTTTCATTAATTCCCTCCGAAGGTGTGTGTGTATCTGTTTGAAGGTGTGTGTGTTTGTGTGCGTGTGAGATGTCTGATTGGTGGCACGCTACAGCAGCTGCAATCCCACAGCTCCTCGTGCTCTTGGCGGTGCATATGTGTCTATGTGAAATTAGCAGCGTTAATAAGAGGAAGTTCTGCAAGATGTTTCCTCCTTGAAATAATGACCATACTGTCCACAAGCTACATGCATGTTTTGTATGTGTGTGCATGAGGGGGTGACTAGCTGGAAATATGGACACCTATTGTGAAATCGATTTCAGACATAGCGACACACACCGACTTCTGCTTAGGCTGCTTGTAATCGTGCAACAATTTCTGAAAATAAGAAGCTGCGATCTCTGTAATCCAACATGTGCAAAACTGGCTTAGTATTTTTAAAAAGGAGGAAATGAATCACAGTGAGAGAAAAAAAATTTAGGAACCTCTTTAATGCATGACTGAATGTAATTGATGACATTTATTCAAATGACTCTTCTCCATGTAACGCTGCTGCCTATGTAATTGTGTGATAAGAGAAAAAAAGCACCAATATCACATAGAAAAGATCTACAAAATCCTGAATTACATATCTAATTATATAATCTACTGTAGGATTTTTATTTTACCTGCAACCTTGAGTTAAGTTCCTAAAGAACTCAAGTTTACTTGATCTTTTTAAAATATGCTGTTAACAAGTTATACATAGTTTGTTCCGTGTGTTGTACCAGAGCTGCAGGGCTCTGAAAATGATTGATACAGTAAACATTTATTATTAACTGTTATTAGAAAATGCATGAAACAATTTATTCAGCTAGAAAATACAGAGAAAGACTGTGTGTGTTCTTTCTGACCAACTGGATTCTGAATTGCTTAAATGTATTCCTGTAATAGGTACAAATGTGAGGTCAACTGAACACACTATTACATTGTGTCAAAAACTATTCTGTTAATTCCTACAATTACAATAATTTAAGTATTAGTATGGAATTCCTGCACTGATCATTATTTATTGTTATTATTATTTGTAAAAGTTTGTTAACTGTGACACTCTACCTTTTTTGATGACAGGCACCTGGGCAATGTGGGCGCTGTTGTGCGTGAGAGTGGGAAGGTGGGACATCTGTATTTTTGGTGAGGACAGGAGGCTCGGGGTGCCCACGGGAGAGTAGTTGAAGATGGCTGAGCCGTAGCTCTGCCGACGGCCTTCCCGCCGGTTGCTGTCAATAGCTGCCTGAAGCTCACCGGGGGAGCTGAGTCCCCGCTTTGCACATTCGTAGGGGTAGAGGTACTTCATATACCTGTAGAAAGGATGAGGAGCAGGGGGAGTAGGAGTGGAGGAAACGAGGACAACAAAGATGTCAAAGGTGTTTTCCAAATGATTTTTCAAAACAGCATTTTAAACATAATGATTTATATATAAATATGTAAATGTTGCCCTTGCCATAAGAAAACCCAGCTGTTGATTACAGTGGTATTAAATATGTACAAATTTAGAGCAGCAGTGTTTGTGTGATACTAGTGTCCTATAAATGTAATCCATAAAACCAACAAAAATATGGTAAAAAAAACTCTAATGTAAGAAACGTATGGAAAGTGTGGAGCGACCTGATATAAATCAGGCTGTACACCTCTGACAGCTACAATCAGCCTGTGAGCACACAGTTAAAATAACCAGGTTACAGTTGACTTTTCCCTTCGTGAGCTGATTTCTTAGACATGGTGGAGACGACAAGAGCAGTTTCCATAATTGAGGTGAGAAATGGCACAAACCTAATTTTCCTTGGAGACTTGTCCCTGAGAACAAAGTGACCTCTGCCATATTCCAGCATACATACGAAAAATAATTATCAACTATAAATAAATGAATACATTAGTTTAGAGACAGGAGGAAATCTTCATCATCCATTGTTAATAAAGCTGGAATCAGTCATGGCTCTAATAAAGCAAATAATGTTGGTGGTGATCCATTATCCATGATCTATGTTGAGGCAAGGTTTATGTAAACAAAACAAAGGTTGACTTTTCTTTTCCTTTTTTTGTTTTGTTTTTTAGTCATGTGGGTGACATTAATACAGTCGTGAATATTCAACCGTGGCGCTTTGGCCCAGAGGCAATGTCTCTGTCATTGGTGTGGAACCCCAGGGTTCACCTCCTGGGCAAGATCAAATCCGAGTTAGGGCAGTTGGTACCTTCCAGTGGACTCACGGTGGTGGACTCACCACCGTGAGTAGTGCAGGAAGTGCACTACTGCACTACAGGAACCTTCCCAGTGCAGGAAGGTTTAGGGGGGTTGGTACGGTGCAATGTGATTTGGGTGGAGGTCATAGAGACTGCTGCCCCTGCGACCAGTTTATGAATAAGCAGATAAAAATGGATGGATGGATAGATATTCAACCTAAAGTCTACTGCTGTTTTGACAGTGTGTTCAGAGGTGACTCTGGTTTGTGTGGTTTTTGGAGGTTAACATAAACAAACTCAAAGCCAGTCAGACAACGGAATAAACCAAAAATGGGTCCAACCTGGGTTGTTCACCTGTCAATCTTAGAATCACATATGGAGATGTAAAAACACACACAATCACCTGGAGCCTAATTTATTTTTGGACTGTGGGAGGAAACCAGGAGAAACAACTTGATCATGATGAACATACTCCATATTGAGAGGGAATAGAACCAGCAAACCAGCAGTGACCTTTATGCTGTATGGCAGGAGCACTAACCACACTACCTCTGTGTAGCCCAACTGCAAAATGTCTCTACAGGCATAAACTGACATTTTAAACGAACTTTTAAAAAGCAAACATAGTTGGAATATAAAATATAATATTGTGATTGACACCACACTATAAACTATACACTCTACACTGCACAAAATACACAACCATGTCTACATGTAGTTTTTTTTCCTGCACCAAATTCCAGGAAAAACAAAAATCAGCATTAAGTGTGAATTATTTTACATTTTAATTGTCAATGAGCGCCAGTCTGGGAGTTCATCTGCTTCCTGTCTAGTAAATGCTGACTCTGTGTTGGTTTCTCATGTAACCACAGAGCAATAAAACCCAAACTATCACTTTAATTACCAGGCCACGTCCAACACTATTATTACACTGACTCACAGCACTTACTGGCTGCTGAAGAGCCCACATATGATGACTGGGCTTTTTCACCTGCACGGACATGTCATCAGTTGTGACAGTGAAGTGAAGAAAAGAGATGGTCATATATTAATCACAACACCTGACCAACCAACATTAATCACCAAATAACAGTTTCTACTCACGGTGGCCACACTTGGATGTCTGTGTGTGTGTGTGTGTGTGTGTGTGTGCGCGCGCGCACTGGTTATCAGTCATCTCTGGGGTTATCACATCCCTGCTGGTACTCACTGTGTTCGGAGAGTGAAAGCTGCACTAGTAATGGAGGTAGGGAGGTTAAGGCCTTTGGTGATCTCACGCCATATTTTCTTATTGATGACTTCCACTAAGCCGCCCTTTTCTGTGACGAGCTTGTAGAGCATGTAGAGATCCAACACCTGCTTGGCCATGATAGGAATCCGATTCACTGGAGTCCCTGCAGAAAGCAAACACAATATCCACAATCAATTCCATTAACTTTGGTTCCTCTCATCAATAGGCTTCTGCCCCGTCTTATAAAGCCAATTTATCTCAAGCCAGTCAAATGTCTGACAGCTGTTAGCGGCAGGAAGTAAAACTCATACGAGAAGTTTTTTATGACATTTTAAATGTAGCCTCTCCACAAGTGACGAAGTTGTCCCTTTTTTATACGACTTGTTGTAAAGTTTCATCTTTTTAAAGCTGGGCTTCCAACTGCTTCACTGTTAAACAATAAAAAAACAATGTAAATCTTTAATGAAAGATCTGGATATGTACCACAAAAATCTTACAACTACATCCATCTGTTTTATTATCTACCACTTTAATTGCATTTTTTATTTGATTTTAGTGTAAAATAGTAAATAAATTGCACCTTTTACCCTTCTAAACTACAATTGAAATCAGGATTTTTCCATAATCCACCACTAACTTACTGTCAGAAATCAGCCATGGTGGAGCCAAAAAGGACTATTATCTTCATGTGTTCAGAGTTCAAATAAAAATAGAATAAATATGACATTCAAGAAGGAGCTTCACAATAGTGATAGTAAGGAAAAAATATGTTAACTCTCTCTGCTGGTCAGAAGTGGTACTACAGGCAAAAGAAGAGTCCACACTTGCAATTCTAAAATGTCAATTTACATGATATTTTTGGAAAAAATTGCTACAGTAACAACCAATGGATTGTTTAATCACTGTATAGCATTTACAAATCCCATTTAAAATTACATGAAAAATACCAAACACACAGTGTAGAACAAAATGTGTATAACAGCTGCTAAATGAAAATAAATGCTTCACAAAGGAAAGAAAAAAATGTTCTCCCAATGTTCTCTTTATTTTTGACTTCAAACTGTGTTAAAAAATGAGGTCACCTTCTACTAATGACAGCCAAGCCATCCCTTATTAGCAAAATAAAGGAACTGGGATAATAATTTGTATCTGCAACTTAATGTGAAGCAATAAAGAGAGAACGAGCAGCTCTTTGTGAAGATTCCAAAGTGCTTGACCCTGAGATAATTAACCTGCATTTTGCTGATAGAGTTCCATTGTGGCCATCGGATTTACCATAATAGCGATCAATAGCTGCAGAAATATAGTGCAAACAACAGCAGTGGGGCCCATACCGTGAGGGGGAGAGGGGGGCGCTCTGAAGTATCGTCTGAGGTGGTAAAACCACATCAATTAAGGCCAGTAATTACGGCTTCATTTTGTGGTGCTGGCATGTGAACGGATGAGACACTATTAAAACAAAGGATTGATGTCCCCCCCTCTCCCTCAAGATAAATGGCAGAGCAGTAGGTCTGAAGCTGCACAGTGGAGGAAAGTGCACAGGAGGCTGGATTTGGACAAAAAGATGACTTGAGCTGAATGAACCGGCTTTGACAACAGTGGTGAGTAATGGTGTAACGGCTCATGTGTAACGCACAACAATCTGACTCTGGGTAAATGACCTTTAGAGAAAAGTAGACAACAATTATTGCATAGTGTTTTCCATTACTTTGGGGGGGAAGGGGACTCTGAATGAAGTTGTATTAATCTAGTGCAAAAGTACTACACTCTTTATACCTTATCTCCAGACAAAGTCAAAGAGGTGAAGCTACATTAGCCAGCTGTGTGTGTACGTCCAGTAGCGCTGTGAGATGATGATTTTACACTATTTTGAAACAAATACAACCAAACACAACTAACTTTAAACATTAATCCCAGACTGCAAATTCCTTACCATAAAGTTTGCAGATTTATGATGAGATTGAAGCAACAATAAGATAACCCTGGCTAGATTAGCTTTGAGTGGGATTTTGTTTTTATTACATGTATATGTGTATATTGTATTAAGACTTTTCTTTTGGAGAAAGAGTACGAAGACACATGATTCCATAGCGTACCTTACCCGTACACTTTGTGACTTACTTAAACGTAGAATTACCTTAGCTTACGTATTTCTTTTTAAACTTTTCTATTTTTTATTAATTTTTATTTTTTTGATTTGTATTCTTTCTTTAGTGGGCACCACTCTCATATTTATCGGCAATTTCATGCTTTATTTCCATGGTCATCATGTGTTTCTTCTTCTATCTACCATCCTTACCACTCACCTTTTTAGGACTCATCACTATTATGAAGAACAATGCACAAAATAGAAAGAAAATCACGAGTGAGGCGGCGTGGGCTGCTCCGAGTGCTCGGCCACTTAGGTGTGCTCGTATCTCGAAGCAAAGATTTACTCGAAGACATGCTCGTAAGTCCTAAGAAAGTGAGTGGTAAGGATGGTGTATGTAGAAATATATATATATATATATATATATATATATATATATATATATATATATATATATATATATATATATATATATATTTCAGGTTCTGCAATTTTACAGTATTTATTCTGAATTCTCTACTTTTATAGAGCTGCTTAATGCCAATTAATGCCTTTTTTAATAATTGTACTTGGTTTTAGCTGAAACCTTGAGAGAAACAGAAAAAAAATGACTTGTTTTTAAAAAAAGCAGTACTCAATTCAATTCTCTTTTGCACCACTTTATTGTCAAAGCCAATTATTCACATCCCGTTTTTAAGAGCTTACATAACAAGGCTTCGTTGCATGATAACCATTGACCTTATGTAATATTTTCTCATGAGTCTTATTGCCAAAGCAGATACTCCATTTGCTATTGCATTGGACCAGCTTCTTCTTCTTCAATTTTATGTTTTAAATCAAATCTGATCAAATTAATTAAACAGACACATGGAGCCACAAAAAAGTTACAAATGTAATGTATTGCAAAACACATGCTGCTTTGCATTGACTGATTATGTTTTAGGAAAGTGAACTCCTTGTCATTGTGCCACAGCACACCACTGCTTTTAACCCATCACCAAAGTGAACAGTGAGCAGCTTTAAGAGCACAGTGCCATGCTCAGAGCACCTCAGTGGTAACTTGGCAGCTGGTGGACTAAAACCTGAAGCCTTCTGGACCCAAGTCAGCTTCCTTTACCACTGCCCCAAATGTATAGTAAGTAAACAGAAATACTGATAAAATAGACAGAAATGTTACAGGAATAGTTGGTAAAAAAAGTTCTTAGTAGCTATTTTGGCCAGTTAATAAATGTCTGCTAGTAAAGGTAAAAAAGCAGGAACTATAAATATTTAACTTCACCAACAACATGACCACAATGTTCAATTTTCTTTTTTTTCTTTTTTTTGCATCTGTTTTTGGGAAATACAGAACAACAGTTTTACTGTACATTCTGTGATGTGCACAAAAGTCAGAACATGACAGATAATTTATGGCTAACATTTAAGCAAACTTTTAATAGACACTTTTATTTCACTGAGTTCTAAAGAAAAACAAAAGGATCCCGGCCTTCTTTACGGCTGCTCTTTATTAGTCCTGACTGTGGTGAGCAGCTGAAGAGCTGCTGTATCCACGCTAATCTATAAAACTATTATTTTGTTGAAGACACAATAGCCATCCAAACAAGGATTGAGGTAATAAATAAAAGTCTCAGCCTTTGTCTGACAGATTCTGAGAAGAGACAAGCCTCTTAAAACAAGATTTATGCGCGTTCAATACAGAGGGTGATGTATTTGTCCCTCTGATTCCTTGAAAGAGATATAAGGAATAAAAGAGTGAGGACTAAAACCTTTGTCAGCGGAAAATATCTAATCAGCCCATGTATCATTATGACAATGAGCGATGGTGGACAAGGTGGAAGAAATCCACTTCGCACAACACTCACAGTTGTGTCCATTTTGTAATTGGGACAATGTGGAGCATCAGGAGCTCCGAGTAGCGCAATAATCATCTTTATGCTTGGCTTCATCGCTGACGTGTTCACTTTGCACTGAGCCGATAATGGGATGAGAATTTCTCCTCCTCATTGACTTTGCTCTTTTAAGCCACAAAATGAACGATTAATGCGACGTCACATGGGAAACCGACAGTTCATCTGATTTGTTTGACTTCATGGGTGAAAAGAGGACGGTGAGACCCAAACATCACTGGGACTGAATGTGCATGACAGAGCAGGAGGTTTCACCCCAGAGTTTAAACTGGACGGGGTGTAAAGATACAATGTAAATTTGGGGTCAAATATTAGAAAAATATGAGTTGAAATCCACTTTGACCAATTACAATTTGATTTTTGAATTCAAAAATCATTTAAATGTATATTCTAACAAAACAAAGGGTGTTTCATGTGATTGTATTAAATGCCGTTGAACTGGCTTTGAAAATATTCTCATCTTTTGGCTATAAAGGTGCAGCAGAAAAAAAACATAACGAAACAAAAGATGACTGACACTAAAACTAACAGAAAAGGCATAAAACTAACCACCATGCAGAATACCACATATTATGTGTATCACACAAGAACCACCTGTAATTATAACCCTTTAATTCTAGTACGACTGCAAATTTAAGTTTCTTTCTTTTATTTTGTCTGTCGTCTGTCGACTTAATATATATATATATATATAGCTGCACTCCAGTTTGTATGTTTTAACAAATAAAACATGGTTGGCAGTGATGAATCAAAAGCAAAAAGTATGTATTTTTTTCCTATATGTCAGCTAGCAAATGAATGAAAGGTTAAGACTGGAAAGCTGTTTTGTTTCCTGGCCACTAGGGGGTAACTTTGCTGCTTATAGAAGCAGTGGCGTAAACCTGTACTGCTGTGCTACTTCTAACTACATCTTAAAGCTGTATGTTTGAATGTAGGTTTTAACTGTTCAAAAGAATCAGCAGAAGAACAACTTTATTAATTACTCTGAGGTTATTTTATCAGTTTACAGGGCAAATATAAAGTGAAAAACACGATCAGAAATGGAAAAAACACCTTGAGTGAAGCAGCAGCACAGGAGGAATATTTAGTGTCACGGCAATCGATCACCTGGTCATTTATTAAAGCTACTCTCCTGCAGCCTTTTCTTCTACAACATTATATTCTGAAGTCGTTAGGTGTGGACAAAAGTTGTTGAAGAAAAAAAAAGTGCTGATTGGTAACCCTTGGAGATAATAATCAATTAATAAGCCCAACCCTGGGGCAACAGTAAATCACCTTGGGTATTTATCACCACACAAAGGAAGCCATCACAACCATTGTTTGCTCTGCGTTTGATGGAATCTCTCAGCCAGGACTTCATGTTTCTGCTTTTAAGGCTACAAATGTGTAAAGAAGCAACACTAAATTCATGCATCAAGGTTTCTCAGAACAGAGCAGAGGAGAAGAAAACCTGTGTTCTGTTCAATCAAGAGTGATTATTACCAAGGATAATAATTAGCCAAAATAATTAACAAAATAACAACACATTCAATGGCTACAGTCTATAGCCTAGCATTATTACATTTGAAAAAAATCTAATAATTAGAAAAAAAAATTAAAAAATATTTTCAAACCATTGTTCAACTAGGAAAGTTCCCAAAGCCTTGGTTTTTGAACTGAAGACTTTGGTTACTGGAAGCAAGTCCACTTTTTTGTTAAGCCAGTTCAGTTGGTTTTAAAGGACACAGAATTATTCTTTTAAAAAACCATTAACAAATCTAGTTTATTTTACAAAAACCAAGATAAGCCAGAAGGAGAAAACCAGAAGTTTGAAAATAGTCTGTCTCTTCCAAAGCTTTTAGGCAGGGCCAGTTTGTTGTTGTATAACCAGGAAACACACTTTCTACCATAAAACCTCGGACAGGACTCAGTAATAATGTTCTACTGCTTTCAGCAGATCAAGACACTTTCTTCGAGAAGACCTGTCTATAAAAATCTTACTGAACCATTTTCCCTTGCGAAAGGAAAAATGTAAGACACAAGGTTACACCACTTTTTTCATCTGGGCGACTTGTACCTTTGATAGCGTTCAATGATTTATAAGTCTCTTTGAGTATGCTTAACAAGCCTGGTTGCTTCTAGGCATCTCAAGTCTATTGTCACCTAGGAGACTCAACCCAATCCAGTTGGCTAGACTACATTCCTAATGATCTGACAGCAGCACTACGAGTTCAAATGTAAAAAATGTCAACAAGTCACATTCTCACTCACTTTAGACACAGTGTAAGAAACCAAATCTCTGAGCCCTCTTATTATTGTTATTGGAAGGTGACTTTTACCTATAAAGTGGAAGGATTTGTGAACACACTCTCCTCCACTCTTTCTGCCTCAGGCGACCATGCTGTGCTCTGACTTGTCAGTGCAGAATGACAGCAACATTTTCACAGGAACATTGATTAGGATATTTGGAGGAGTCTTCCACTCTGATCACACTTGTCAGAGGCCTGCGGTGGAGATAGGCTGCTGATCTGCTTGGCACTGACAATGTCTCCCTACACTAAGTCCAAAATCAATCTCTAATTGAGCGCTCCAACAACAATCCATACTGTCTCCAAAGCCCAAGTGGCCTCCCAACTCCATCATTACTCCATCAGAGTGAGCTTTCCTGGAGGTGCCACTGCAGAATTGCACACAACTGCTGCCGCCACACTGATGGTCAGTTTTTGCTTTATTTAATTGCAAAAATGAGCTGAAATCAAATGTTACAACTTCAAAATGTTCTTTTAAATTGCAGCAGGCAACCAAGGTAAATAGTTAGTATCAGTTCATATCAGTTGATTTAATTTATCTTTTTGTTTAGTTGTTCTATTATTATTATTATTATTATTATTATTATGTAATAATAATAATAGTAATAATAATAATAATAATAACCAACTGGAAATATTAAAAGAAAGTCATTCTGAACATGTCATTTTAAGTTGTCTTTTTTTATTGCTATCTGTTTATATAGATTTGTATTTATTTAAACCTATTCAGAATTCATACTGCATCAATTAAATAAAATGGCAAAAACAGAGAAACAGTTATGTAATGCTCCATATATATATATATATATATACTGTATATACAAAGTCCAAGGCGGACAGGTAAGAATGTATTGTACAGGGGGAGATTTCAGGAAAACAAAACCTGTGGTGGCCCACCAGTCTCCTGGTCCTAAATGTAGAGCCTCATTGTAGCTGCCTGTGCCTTTTATCCTTCTTTTAGCTGGCTGCTACACTTCCTCACATTATGAAAAGCTAAACACTGACCAATCCTTGCTTTGAGGAAAACAAACTAAAAATGAACAATGCTGCTGGAGAGCCACATGGGCACAGTTCACCACTGCACACCGACACACACTGTGGGCTGTTGTTGTTTGCCTGAGGGTCACTTACCTCGTTTCTGCATGAAGCTGAATAGGTCGTCTAGAAACTCTTTGCGCTTCTCATCCTCGTCCAACTCGTATAACTGTAAAAGAAGGAAAGAAATCAAAATTAACACAACAGAAAATGCATATATTGGCGAATGTCCTTGACAAAGTTGGCTGCAGGATTTCCTGTCTGTGTCACCAATTCCCACAGATGAGGACGAGGTCTCAAAATAAATAAAAATTAATTTTAAGGTTTGTGCTCAGCTTTTTTTAATGACCCATTGAAGGCCATTACTGTAGCACATCACCTATGGTTAACATTCATTTAGCATCTGTTTGGCCAATTGTGTTAAGGTTTCTGGCATAGGCTGAGTAAAGACAGTGATGCCTTCACTGCCCTAAAATAAAATGTAATTGCAACTAAAATTCATTCTTTGACTTAATATGTTTTAACATTTTTTTTACCAGGATTTGGTTGATTTTATTCGTTTGTATTTTTCTTTTGCTGGAACTGCCACTAATCTACGAGTCTATCTGTTTTTACTTTCCATATTGTTAATTTGTAGACCTGTTCTGAAGTGGCATAATGGCACACTAACATGTCTGTGTGTCGGTCCTCAGCATATTTTTAAAACGTCGGATTCCTTATTGGCAACTCTATAATGCTCCTGCTCTGCTGTATTTACTGGGGCAGTGTCAGAGTCAAAGAGCCTTTTAAATGGAGCCCATTCCGCTGCCTGAGAAGGGAGATGGAAATGTGTGAGTGGCAATCTTCACTTTCAGTAAGGCTCAGAGCCATGTTAACAGGCCTTACTTAATCAATACTGAGAGATAGAGGAGTGACCTTTGGAATCAGTGGGGCCCTGTGGACGAGGCCCCTGAGATAATAACTGATCATTTAGAAGTGTATTAGCTGTCACCAATATTAAAGGAGCAGTGCAGGTCAGCACTCAGGAGGAAACTGTGGACAGCGTG